GAGGGGCCAATTTATGAAGGTCTCATCCTTTAAAAAGAAAACAGCTCACCATACTTCTTTCCATGTACATCCAGTAAGGGTTTTATTAAACTAGGTATCCCTTCCATAGATTGTGCCTTTCAGAAATGCTGAGGTAGGTTTCCCGTTTCTTACCTGTGATGTTTTTACCCAGCACCTCCGGACACTCACCTTCAGGACCTTAATAAAGTTATTCACTTCATAAATGTTCAAGTCTGTCTGATCACCCCAAGTAGCATGACTGATCTGCTATTTAAAATTTCTGTGATCTGTGAAGAAAAAAAAAAAAAGACATACACAGTTACCTTGGCTACTAATGAAGCTCTCTCCTTTTGTTTTGTTTTATTTCATTGTTGATTGTGTATTTTCTTCATTGCTGGGAGTACTAACCCAAAAGTATCTGTCTCTTTGTTCTCTAGTCCAATTTGAGATTAATTTAGAAGGAATACTGTATGTGTAATTCAGCTTGGGCTTTCCCCTAAATGCAAGGCCATGTGTAATATTTTCCCTAAAACTAGAATATATTAATGCATGTTTTGAGAATTTTAAAGCACCATGGTCAAAACCAGAAGCTATATTTTGCATATTTGGACTCAGCCATCCATTAAGAACCTATGTTGTCCTCTGGATATATTTATCAAAATAATTTGGTTTTGAATAGTATAAAATAGAAAATTTGCGAACTGTATAATTTATGTATAACCTTCATTATTGTAAATTTAACGGGAAGTGCATCACAATTATGATTTTTTTGCACCAGTGAAACAATAAAATTGCTATTAACAATTCTTGTATCTTTTTTTCCTTTTTACAGTCTTGATTGATTAAAAGAACTTGTAGAATGCCTGTGGAGTTTCATACATCTCATGTTTACAATGTGCTCTGGCTTACGAAATTATGGAGCAAGGCACCTTTACTCTTTCATTTGTGTTCCTGCTGAACCTTTTCCCCAGCCTTACCCTGCTTTTCCTAAGGCACCAAGAGTCATGTAACTCCCCAAAGGCTCTTCACATGTATTAGCTATCTACTTTGTAACAATTTTCCCTAAACCTAGTGTCTTCAAACAACAAATATTTATCTCATAGTTCTCAGTATCAGGAATTTAGAAGCAGCTTAGCTGGTGGTCCTGGATCAAGGTGTCTTATAAGGTTACCATCAAGATTTTGACTGTGGCTGCCATCCAAAGGTTTGATAAAGTCTGATTTCTAAGCTCTTTTACTTCATTCACTCACATGGTTGATAGAAGCTTCATTTCCTCTCATTTTGGGCTTTTCCATAGGGCAGCTTCAATGTCTTTATAAGTGGTGGCTAGCCTTCCCAGAGTGATTCCATAGAGAAAGAGCAAGGAGGAAATGACAGTGTCCTTTTATGATCTAATCTCGGAAATGACATGTCATTTTTGCCTTATGAAGGCCATTAAGGCAATACTAGAGGATAAAGGGAATTAAGCTCCACCTCTTAAAGGGAGACATTGCAATTAATTGATAAAGATTTTCAACTTACCACAACATTCAGCACCTTACCATCTGCCCTCCCATTGCCAGATGTTTAGAACTTGTTTGATTTTACAAATCAGAACAAATGTGTACTAAATTATAAAATTAGAAGTTAACAACTATGTTAAGCCTTCCTGTAGTACATCTTGGTCCAGCAAACCTTTTCTGTTCTTTGCAGTGTTAATTTACAGTGTTAAATTATAGTATTTATAGTATTAATTACATTGCATACTGTAAATTAAATTAATTAACACTGTATAATAGGGACTGTGAATTAGGGATAGATGTGTCCATTTTACTTGTATCTTCATTGTAATGTATCTGGAAAGGTAAAACAGACAATTCAATACCTGAATTTGAACTCAGTTGGAAAAGATGGGTCAAAGTTAAAATAATGTCAGTATAGGGTATAAACTTTGATTTTCTGGGTTGACAAAAAGAGACTAGATTTAAAGAAGGAAAAAAAAAACCAAAGCATTGATAATATTTTTAATTTATACGTTTCTTTATTTTAAAAAAATGAAATACCTACCATATGCCAGATATAGTTAGGCACTGAATTTAAGGGTGAACATGATTATGGTCTACAGATTAAACAATTTTAGTCTGGTATGAAGACAGATTCATAGTGACAGATTAGCACTGAAGAAGGACTTGGGGGTTGGGTAAGTTCTGGAGAGGGTTGTATGGGCTTCCCATTGCCTCTTGTGAAGTAAATGCCCAACTTCCAGTCCTATTTATAATAGCTAGAGCCAGGCATTTAAAAGAGTAACCCATAGAAGTTGCCTATGCACAATGAGATAAATATTGAAAAATTGAATAGACATTTAAAAACTTTTATAGCTCTTTGATGATTTTCTCTCTGTAGAGTGTAAGTATAAAAAGTTTGTGTTTTTAATTTTTATTTCTGGCACTATGGGTTTAAACCCAGGGCCTTGCATATGCTGGGCAAGTGCTCCATCCTTGAGCTACATCCTCAGCCAACATAAGCCATCTTTTTTTTTTTTTTCCCTTGAGACAGGGTCTTGCTAAGTTGCTTGGGCTGGCCTCAAACTTGGAATCCTCTTGTCTCAGCCTCCTGGGTAGCTGGAATTAGAAGTGGGTGTGTATTACCACACCTTGCTATTTTATGTCTTTCTCCCTTTTCTAATAATATTTACAACATCTGACATAAAAAAATACCTGTCCTTAATGGATGTGGGGGAAATCCTTTACAGATGGATAGAAAGAAGCACAGAATAGAGGAGAACTGGTGCTGAATGGCATTAAATCCCCAAGATGAGGAGATAGTCACAAGAGGCCACATCTAGGAAGATGATATGAATGGATGAGCAATGCCTCTTGTGACAGCACTTTCCTGACCTCCTTTTCCTGTCTCCAGTCAGCAAACCAATGATTAGAGTCTAAGCAAAAAGTCTTGCTTTTTTTTTTTTTTTTTGGTAACTGGGATTGAACCCAGGGACACTTAACCACTGAGCCACATTCTGAGCCTTTTTCTTTATTTATTTAGAGACACAGTCTCACCAAATTGCTGAGATCCTCCTGCCTCAGCCTCCCCAGGTGCTGGGATTACATATGTGTGCCACTGTGCCTGATTAGCAATTGCTTCTTTACATGGAAATTCGTGTTTCTGATTGTTCCCCAAGCCCTGAGACTGGTGGCCATTAGGTGAGTGAACTGTAACACAACTCTGGCCATTAATGACTTTGCATAGATTGTAAGCTTATCCAAACAACTAAAAGAGGAGGGAAGGAGGCATTTAACTTGATGAGGCATGGTAGAATAATTTGAAGAATGGTGAGCAGTTGTAGATCAGTTAATGTGCAATTCTCAGAGCCACTGAGAAATATGAGAGACCATAAGGAATAAGCTAACCATCATAGGCAATGGGAGGGGATTTAACTTGATTTTGTAGGGGTTTTCCATTACATTTGCTATCTCTGCGAACCTAAGGTAATTATATGAAGCAGAATCAATTTGAAAGGATTTTTCAATAAAATTTTCTTTAATGATGGGAATTCCAGACTACATATTGTCCATGAAAGGTTCTGGGTGGAGAAATCTCTGGAGAAGGAGGCCTTCCTGTTTGCTAGGGTTGGCCCTATGGGGGTGCCCTGGGGATGGACAGCAGACCATGTTTCAGGTGCCACTATCTACACATTTGCTGCACACTTCAGTTACCTATGTTAAAAGACAAGCTTCCCAGCTTGTGTTAATTTAAAACAAGTCATCTGGAAGTGGGGTGGTCTAGATCTTGTATTGCTGTTCACTTCTCTATGTTACCTGCAGTGTACCAAGAAAACTGGGCCAATGCTTCCAAAATCTCTAGAGAGACTGTTTTACCACACATTACAGTGTTTAATTAGCTTAAGGCCAGAAATGTCTTCCTATGACTAAGCATTAGGTTGTAACTTAAATCCATTTTCACTCATCAGAAAGAACCAAGTACAAATACAAAGAAACTGTGAAGCTGGGTATGGTGGCTCACACCTGTAATTCCAGAAGCTCAGAAGGCTGAGGCAGGAGGATCATGTTTGAGGAAACGTTAAAAGAACTGGGGATATATATCAATGGTAAAGCACCACTGGGTTCAATTGGTACTGACCAAAACAAACAAACCCTTTGGAGGCTTCATGGCCACTAGGTATAATATCTAGCATTTGAGAACTTTTTTTTTTTAAATTAAAATTGTTTTGGTGGTGGTCTAGGGATCAAACCCAGGGCTTTGTCCATGCTAGACAAGCACTCCACCACTGAGTCATATTCCTAGTTAATCTCTTGCATTTGCATTTATCTGGTATGTTTTTATAAATGTAAGCTATGAAACCTGGTATATTTTGTAAAACTAGGTTCTATCCTTTTTCAAGTCTTGTCTTTATTTATATACACAAAAGTGATGAAATACTCTTATATACTGCTACAAACAAAAGTTGCATATTTAAACTGGTTAGCCTTATCAACAAGTAAAATATATTGATAGGATAGTGTGTGGAAATTTGGTAAAATTAACAAACTTAAGCCTTAGTAGGTAGGATGACTCCACAGGAGATAGATATTACAAAAACATTTTTTTCTTAACCATTTTTATCCTTTTACACATTTCCAGGATCAATGCTTCTCAAACTTTATTAAACATATAGATCAATCAGGGAGCTTGTTAAAAATGCAGATTCTGGGATTCAGCAGGTCTGGGGCACAGGTGGAGAATTCTAACAAACTCTCAGGTAATCCCCATGCTGCTGATCCAGAGAGCAAATTTCTTTTTAAAAAATTGTAGTTTGAGTACAACCAGAGATATGAAAAATTGTGCTCTATATGTGTAATGCATTCTGCTCTCATATATAACAAATTAAAATTAAAAAAAGAAAAAAGTGATAATATTTTGTTATGCCAAAAACATAAATAGTATGCTATAGCTTTTTAAAAATCCAGATTGGTGATAATAAAACTAAAATTTTAATTTGTGCCACACACACACACACACACAAATTTTTTTTAACCTTTGTTTTACTTATTTATTTATATGTGGTACTGAAGCTCAAACTCAGTGCCTCATACATGCTAGGCAAGCGCTCTACCACTGAGCTACAATCCCACTCTGGGACAGCGATTTTTGAATTAACAAAGCCTTACCTGGCTTGCATGAAGCCCTGGGTTAGAGACTGCAAAACTAAACCCGCCCCCCCAAACAAAGCCCTTGATGACAATTCCATAAACAACATTTTAAAAATATTATATTTGGAGGGACTTGTTTCACTTGTTATATGGATTCCTTGTTTCCTTGTGGCAAAGACCCAGGTGGAGTGGATAGCAGTGGCTTAGGAAAGTGTTTGTGGTTGCCTCTCCTTCCTGGAGTGTAGGGGTTAGGTAACCTGGCTTTGGCACAAGAGATATTTCTGTCACATGTACATATGAGGGTGGACCTTGGCCTTTCCAGGGCACAGCAGTTTGATGAACGCTTTTCTGAAACTCACGTGGCACAGTGGGTACAGAATAGGGTTGATAGCGGAATTCAGCCAGAGGAGCCAGAAGGATGTCTCATAGAGGGAGTGCTGGATGCACGTCCCATGACAGGCTGCTCGGATGATCATGAGCAAAGTGTAGGGAGCCCAGCACAGGCCAAATACACACACAATGATGGCCAATGACTTGGCCAATCGCTTATCCCGGGAAAGCCGGAGGCGACTGGCCACAGTGTTGGCAAGGTCTGCCTGCCTTTCAGCATTGCAGATGCTTTCGCTGGGCCTGTAGTGGCTCTGCCGACCCCGTGCTGCTTTGGTTCTGAGGTCTAACTGCAGAGGCGGTAAATCTTGAGTCCCAGGCACATCCAAGGAAAGACTGTTTTGCTTGGTAGAGAGGCCCTGGTCTTTCCTTTTCTTGCTTCTCCTTTCAGCGGGTTTAACAAAAAATATGATGTGTTTCTTTTTTCTTCCCTGGAAGTTCATCTCCAAGCCATCTTGGCTGGGGACAGTGTAGTCATTCCTCAGAGAGTTGCGCTTCTGAATGTTGATATAGATGCTCAAGTTGAAGTAAGTGACACTGACAAAGGGTGTGAAGAATTCAATGATGGAGGCCGTCATGAGGAAATACCAATTGTAGAAGAACTCAGCATAGCACTCCCCCCGGGGCAGGATGCTTCTTTTGGCCACATACTCCCAGCTGATGATGGCAGGCCCATAGAGGAGGAATGCTGCCACCCACACCAGTGCCATCTTGAAGATAGCATTCCTGGTCATGCTCTTCTGAGCTCTGTAAGTCACCTAGAAGGAAACAACAGAGACCAGTGAGGGAGTGGTGAGGCAGCTTTACTCACTCGGTCTGGTACAGTGAGATGTCGTGAGGCTGAAGATTAGTTGTGAACATGACCAGTGTCTGGGGTATAAGGGGGTTTTATTTTTGCATCAGCCAACTCTTTCCAGATGTACTATGCCACTTCAGGTAGCCTCCTTGCAAGAGGTGAAGAGCTTTCCTCGTAGGGAGATGGTCAAGGTCTGTCTCTTTGAACATTAGTATTACTCTCTCACATGTGGAAACATATGTCTTCAATACCCTCCAGAATGTTTATAAGTGAAATCACTGGTGAATTCATAGTGTTCTGCAACTGAGCTATTGTACTTCCTTTTCCAACTTTTAAACAATCTCATATCTTTGTGATATATATGTGTGTGTGTGTGTGTGTGTGTGTGTGTGTGTGTGTGTGTGTGTGTATTTTTTTCTGGGAATTAAAACCAGGGGTATCCTTTTTATTTTTTATTTTGAGACAGGATCTTGCTAAATGGCTAAGGCTAGCATCAAAGTTGCAATCCTGCCTCTGCCTCTGGAGCCACTGTGATTACAGGCATGCACCACCTGGCTCATTCCACATTTTTACTCATGACCCATTTAGTCTCCCCTGCAGTTCCTGGAGGTGGCTCTATGTCTCAATGACCAAGAGCAGAGTCTGGAGTCAACCAACTTGGATTCAAATGCTGTCACTTGGAGAGCTGTTTGTTCTAGGCAACTTACTTAACCTCTATGTGTCTCAGTTTCTTCAAATGTAAAATTGGGCAGTATTTTTCCCTAGACTATAGGATTTTCATGACCCAATGCATGTCAAGCGCTTGAATATAATTCAGATAAAGTTCTTAGAACAGTGTCTGGCTTAAAATAAACCCCTAAATATTAGTTAACACTATCATTGGGTGTAAAAATACCTGCAAAGGCAAGAGCATGAAATAAAAAATTTTGATCTTTGGTTTGCAGAAAATGTTATGAGAAGGTGAGAGCTAACTGGGGAAATGAAAGGTGCTTTGAAGATTTGGGAGATGGAAGTTTTCCCCCAACTGCTCTGCCACGCTGCAGACACTTCTGAAGTGTGTCACTGGAGCAAAACACTTGGCTTTCTATATGGGTCAGTGCAGAATATTTAATACTATTAGGCAGTTTCACTTCCTATACCTGTAATATGCACAAGCCCTGCACTCAGAGCAAAGGGAAACTAATTACCAAGAGAGGATCTCAAGGGAGTGATGTGTTCCTGGAAAGTTAGAAAATGTCACTTTGGGCAATATTTATACTTAGGAAATTATTTTAGCCAAATACAGTGGGAACAGAAGAAGTAATAGTAGGAATGGGAGACACGGAAGAGCTGGGCTGGAACAATCATGAAAGCCAGTGGTTTTTATTCTCAGTTGTGCCTTATAACCACCCAAAGCTATTTTTAAAAAATGCCAATACCTGAACCCTCCTCAAAGCCAATTCAATTCAAAAATAGATTGAAAATTATAGCAATAAATGAAGCAAATTGCCTAGGTGCCATAGTGAGGACTTGGAGATGGGGGGCTGGGAGATAAGGGGATGAAAGCATGGAGGGTGGATTTCTTAGACCACGATGAGGCATTGTAGGTATTGAGAAGCCCAGAGCTTGCTTGTTTCTGTGTTCTAATTTTTCTATAGTGAGCATGGATTACTTATATAAAAGATAAAAGTTTTTTTTTTAGATCAAAGGAAAGCTCCTGTTCACTTCTATCTTCTGTCTCGTTTAATATTCACCTCTGCCCTTGCCGATTAATTTATGAGTCTTATCATCCCATCTGCAAAATGGGGGTAAACTTTAGTTTCTACTTATCTTCGAGGGAGGAAAGGACCATATGAATTAGCCATCATAGAAATTAGAGTCAAATGGCTTTTAACCCCTCTTTTCTGATGGGAAAACAGACTCTTAGAGGTACAAGGATGTGCTCAAGGTCACACATTGTGGAAGTGTAAGATTGGAACTCAGCTCTCCTGACTCCTGAGTCAGCCTAAATATTTAGCACTGTGATGAGTGAATTTACACTTGTGGGTTGCTCACATGAACCCATTCTCTTGCTGTTGGCCCTTAAAACCCACTGAGGTAGCCCCATACTCGGAAGCAAATGGACCCTTTCCACCTAGCACTGTTCTGGGGGAGACAGTCATTAACAATTAACTGGGGAGAGCAAGAAGCCTCTTTAGCACCCACATCCTTTTTCTACTGGGCCTTTAACTTGGACTTTTGATCTTATCTCCAGTTGGGATTACTTAATCAGATTTTTTTTGGCGGGGATATGTACTGGGGTTTGAACTCAGGGCACTCAACCACTGAGTCACATCCTCAGCCCTATTTTGTATTTTATTTAGAGACAGGGTCTCATTGAGTTGCTTTGGGCCTCACTTTTGCTGAGGCTGGCTTTGAACTTGTGATCCTCCTGCCTCAGCCTCTGGTGCCACTGGGATTATGCTTGTGTGCCACAGCTGAATTATATCTGCAAATATGTCTAGTATTGTTTCTGGCTTTGGAAACACTGGGCTGAGAAACAGCTCTGCCTCTTCTGGGAACTTAGTTTGTGAGACAGACAGAACTAATAGAATGTCAGGTGGTGATAAGCCTGAGTATAGTAGGGGAGAAGGAAGAGAGTGTCAGCGCTGCTATTTGAAGTGGATAACCAAGGAGGAGCAGACAGCTGAACAGGGGCCTGAGTGGACTCAAAGTGAGTCTATGTACAGAAAGAGGATACTGACTGGGAGGAAAGATACAGGTGCCATAACAGGACTTAAGATTTGCATCCCATTCTCTGACAACATTCATATAACCACATCTATGTTATACCATGTGATTATAAAAATAAATCCTGAGAAAGGCGCAATTAAATTGTATGTGTTTTTTGTTTGTTTGTGTTAGCCTGGATCTTGCTCTGTTGCCCAAGCTGACCTTGAACTCCTGGATTCAAGTGGCCAGCCCCAGCTTCAGCCCTCCAAGCAGTTGGAACTACAGGTGCTCTACCACTGGGGCCCTGCACTGCATCTTCTTTGTCAAATTTAAGTATTAAAAACAGAAGACAGTATTTGTAATCTTGTCTTTGGCCTCTTTTTCTTTTTCCTTTTGGATATGTGGGGTCCTGAGAACACATGGAAGGGATATGCAGGAGGTTTCTCCTGACCACCATTTCAGCAACTCCAACCACCCAGTCTCCACCTGGCCACCATCCCACCCCACCTCGCACAGGTCTAGGTCAAGTCTCCCTCCTACTTACCGCCCTGGTGACAGAGATGAACCTGTCGTAGCTGATGAGGACGATGTTGAATACCGAGGCGGTACACACCAGGTAATCGGTCACCAGCCACAGTTTACACAGTCCCTTCCCGAACTTCCACTCTCCGGTCAGGATGTAGGGGATGTAGAGGGGGATGCAGAAGCCGCCTGTGGGCGAAGCGGGGCGGTGAGCGAGCGAGGGAAAACAGCCTGGCGACCCGTTCTGGCCCTGTCTCCGTGTCCCACAGTGCCCCACTTCCCCAGGGAGATGTCTGAATGCTGGGATACCTCCTACCTCCTCCAGGGCACCTCCAGCCCCTGGGGCCACACTCACCCACCAGCAAGTCCGCGACGGCCAAGTTGAGGAAGAAGAAGTTGCTGCGGGAGCGCAGGCTGCGGTCCACAGCGAAGGCCACCACGACCAGCGCGTTGCCCAGCACCGTGGCCAGCGCCAGTAGCGCCATGAGCGC